GCGACATTTGGCAGCAAACCCTCCCCGCTGCGGCACGTATCAGGGCAGGGGGACGTGGAGCGGTCTCCGTGGGGTCCCACCATCCGCTGTAGCCCCCCTGGGACCCACAGTGGCAGCCCCAAGGGTGCAGCTTTGCACCAGAGCTGCCCCAGCTTGGCCAGTTCTCTCCCCAGAACACCCCTCGGTACTGAGCGTGTCACCATGCCGCCTGGGGCTGGGAAACCTCTCCCTCCCCGTGCAGACGCTGTGTGCAAATATTTATTTACACAGCGTAAAGGGGCTTATCTATTAAACTACGGCTGACAACTGTATCCAAACTAATTTCTCTTAATAAGGCACTTGCGGTCACCCTGGCAACAGCATCGGAGCACCCTTGCTTAAGACAACAACTTCAGGGGGTGAAAATCCCCTCGGATGCAAAGGCGGGTGCTGAGGGGGACCCTCCGGAGGTGCTGTGGCCGGAGAGACCCATCCCCACTCCTGGGGAGACCCACTCCATCCCCAGAGAAGATGGCAGCTCCCAGCCTCTCCTAGCAGCCAGCCCTGCTCTCATTAGCGGCCCAATTAGCCAAGTGAAGGGCAGCTAATAAATGAAGGGTTGCTGCAGCACGGCGCGCAGGCACGGCCGGGCACTTTTTTAGCACGCGGCGGGTCCCCCGGCTCAGCTCGAGGCAAGGCGATGGGGAAAGCGGCATTTTCCATCCACGTGGCTTTGCCAAGGGTGCAGCAAAGATGGGCAGCGCTGGGGCAGGGTGGGGAATTTGGAATGGGAAATAGGATTAGAATCATAGAATCATTAAGGTTGGAAAAGACCTCTAAGATCATCAAGTCCCTGCCCCAGTGCCCTTCCCCAGCGGGCGCAGGCTGGGGGCTGGCAGAGGTAGGGGGACAACACAGAAACAGCCAGTCCCTCTGCTCTGGTCTAGAGGGGGCAAACAGCGTCACAGCTACCTTTTTTTAAAAAATCTATGTATATCTACATAGGTCATCAAAGGCAGGAGGGCATGGGAGCAGGTCCTTGGTTGCCAAGAGGCAAATAAGGGATGACATAGCTCCTACCTCCTGCTCTGGGTTGGAAAACGTGACAGCTGCTTTATTAATGTCTGTGATAATAACAAAAACAATGACTAAGGAAGGTGTAGGATGAAGGCAGAAGGACTTCGGCATCCTTCCGATGGCCCAGGTGACAGGCTAAATGCTGAGAGTCCTGATACTAGAGACAGAGATGGTAGCAGGATTTCTCCACTCCTCTTCACGGCCTCGTAGAAGAATTAAAACCAAGCCCCTGGTTTTTAAAACCCCGTATCTGTCAGGTTACAAAGCGCTGTGCAATTCAGGGTTTGTGAAACACAGCTCCCCATGACAGAAGCTCTCTCCCCTCTGAAATGCAGATTTGAACTCAGGTACAAAAGCAGGATGGGATGTTTTTTGGCCAGCCACGCAATGCTCCAGCCAGCTGGGGTGCCCCCGGGGAAGAGGGCAGGCACGGCCCTGCAAAGCCACCCCGAAACAAAAGACTCCGGCCGGGCAGTCAAGCAGGCGGTGATTTACTGGGACAACACCACTTCTGCAACAGAGAACACGACTGCGCCCAGACACCCAGGCAGCAAACCCGCAGCGCCGCCGAGCATCGCAGCGCTGGGGACCCCGGAGAGGTGACACCGAGAGCGGAGGGATGCTCGCGGTCCCCGGTGCCGGTTTCCTTCCTGTCTCCCCCCCAGACACACAGACACAGAACAGAAAGATCCGCGGAGCTGCCGCTGCCTGATCCTGCAGAATCACAGAATCACAGAATGATGAAGAGCCCGTCCCAGGGGTTGCCAGGCCCTTGTGCAGGGCGCAGGGCAGTGACGGTGAGCGTCCCCACGCCTGCCGGGGTTCCAGGAGGCAGGTTTAAGGAGACTCACCCCCTTCACCTCCCAGCACGGACCATCCTGGAGCACCCTCTGACGCCGAGCTGGCCACGGTAGCTGGGCAGAGGCACACACGGGTCAGGGCTGGAGCAGCTAAAGCAGCAGTGAGAGCCGCGTCAGGCTCCAAACCAGGCTCACCCGCTTCATCCTCTTTTCCTTCCCTGAAAGCCAAGAGGATGCACAAAGGGCTGTGCCGATGCTGCGCGCTCACCCCTGAACCCAGAACCAGGGACCCGTTGACTGAAGGAGCCCCCAGAGAGGGAGGGACACTCGTTTTGCCGATGGCTCCAGATTAACAGAGCACTGGGCAGCTCCTGGGAGTCAGCCCGGGTGTTTGGAGAGAACCAAGGGGTCAGAAACCAGCTCACCAGTAACCCCAGGAGGACTGGGATGCACATGCCCCAGGAATAAACCCTGGTCTGGTAAAGTCAGGGGGACCAGAGTGAGTTGTAGCAGGCAGGGCGCTGAAGAAAGGCAGAAAACACGAGGAAGGTTCTGCTCGTGAGCTAAAATACTCCCCATCTCCACCCGCTCTGCTCAGAAAAAAGCAAAACATTCGGTGCAAAGCATATTCCTGGTGACGACGTTTTGCTAGGGGACACAGGGGATGCTTTCCCCCATGGGAAGGTTTCAAAGAAGATGCTTTGTCTCAGAAGGAATCACGCTTTGCCATATTTCCACATTTCCCCAGTTTCCCAGCTCTCCGCAGCCGGTCAGTTTTCAGCTCTTACACTCACACTCCCCTTCCCACCCATCGCTCCTCAGCGGAGGAGCCAAATCCCCTACGCCCGTGAATCAGCTGCATTTCCTTTGATTTTTCTAAGCCCTCAGACAAAACCAGTCTAAGTCCAACCAGAACTGGGGCCTTTCTTCAGCAGAAAATTAAAGATAAGAAATTAATAAAAAAAACCCCAAACCTAGAACCTGTATTCCCCCCTGAGAACAGCTTTTAGTAAGAAGTGAGCTTTTCCCAGAAAAATATCCACACCCAGCTTCTCCTCCCTGTCTCCTCCTCTTCCTCCCATCAGGTTCTGCAAGCCACAATCCTGATGGCGTCTCTGGTGCCCTCGGTCTGCTACGAATTACGGCAGATAACGAAGCTCCCAGCAATCGCCGGTCTGTGCTGGAGATGGTGGGGCTGGCGAGGGACTTTGCTGCACCAGGGTGAAAGCCGCCCATCACGGAGAACAACTCAGCCGGGCTCCTGCAGAGCCATGGTGCCAACAGCGGGTCAGGGGATGCACTTTGTGTCTGGCAGCTTTTTTGGCTTTAAGCAGCGTGAATGCAAGCAGCGGAGATGGTGAGAGCAAGGGGCTCTGCGTCGCCCCGGGGTCTGGGAACACTCTTCCCGTCTCTTCCCTTCCAGGGGGTTGAGGCGAGAGCAGGTCTGGTGAATGCTCTTGGGACAGATGCTGCAGAGGTCCCGCTGCAAGCCCACCAGCGCGGGGGGGTTGAGAGGGTCAGGCATCCTTAAAAGAGCAAGCCTCCAAACCCTTGGATTCAAAGGCAGGTCCTTGCGTCCAGAGCCAACAGATCAGCGCAGGGGAGGCTCGTGTGGGGAAGGAAGGATGCAGTGTTTTGGCAGGGAATAAATTCCTCCATTATTGTAACACAGGGAATCTCTATTTGGCATCAAGTGCAGGGGACTGGCTTCTTCAGCCCGTCCCTTCCTTCAGTCCTGGGCGCCCTTGCTCTGCCTGCGAAGCTCAGGTCCTTGCGTCCAGAGCCAACAGATCAGCGCAGGGGAGGCTCGTGTGGGGAAGGAAGGATGCAGTGTTTTGGCAGGGAATAAATTCCTCCATTATTGTAACACAGGGAATCTCTATTTGGCATCAAGTGCAGGGGACTGGCTTCTTCAGCCCGTCCCTTCCTTCAGTCCTGGGCGCCCTTGCTCTGCCTGCGAAGCTCCGAAGGCACACCGTCGGCTGCAAGGGGTCTCACAGACCCCCTCTGGGATGGCAGCGGGGCTGAGGGAGCCCAGAACTGCCTGGATGTGACGGGATTTGGTCCCAGCCTTTGACTGGCCTGGCTTGTCGGTGTGTCGCCGGGCACGAGGCAAGGCAGCATCCTCCTGGCCGTGACAGCGGGGTTGCTCTTCAGACGGTCAGTCCCAGCCCGGATTTCCTTTGGTGCACGAGGTGAGCATGTCGTTAGATGTTCATCTTAGCCAAAAGACATCTGAGATGGCGGAAGCCAGGCAGGAGCCTCAGGAGAGCAGCGACTCGAGGCTGGAGGACCTCAGTGTGGGCTTGGCAGTGATTCTGGGCTGGGAAGAGACAGCCAAGCGAGGACGGGGCAAGCTGAGCAGGCATCGGGAAGACCTGCTCTGGGCACAGGGCTGGGAACCAGAAGAAATGAGGATCAGAGGGAACTGCTGTAGCTGGAGGTGCAGCTCCAGTTAAAAATAAACACCATCCTACTGTGGGCAGCCGGTAGTACCCTCCTGGGGCAAAGTACCAACCGCTGAGCACAGGATTTTGCCCAGGCTGCTTCCGTTTGCAGGGCTTGCTCTAATAAACACACACTGTCCGTGCAGCAGAGGAGCTGAGCTACTTGGAGGTGTTTCCTTGAGGATGGGTCCCTGCTCCTGTGCCCTCAGTAAGCTGCCCGAGCCTCCCTCCTCGTCCGCTTTACACGCTGCTTGGGTTGTAGCAGAGCAGGTTGAACTCCAGGTTCTCATCCCAGTGACGGAGCAGGACAAAGAGCTGCTGAGCTGCGGCTTTCACGGTGGCCAGGCTGTATCCCTCTGGGAAGTCCTGGTCACTCAGCCACAGGCTGGCCTTGGCGGCCACCAGCTCCCACTCGATGAAGTAGGAAGCCGAGCTGTGCTCCAGCCAGGCCAGGGCCACCGCTGTGGCCCACAGCATCCCCTCCGGCTCCGTCTGCTGCTGCAACTCG